AAAAAAGTTACCGCGGGGGGGGGGGGGGGGGGGAGGGAAAGGGGAGAGAGAGGAAAAGAAAAGAAAAAAAAAAAAAAAGTGAAGGAAAGTCCTGCAGTCTTTTGCCTTGTCAGTTCTCCGTCTGCTGTCACTCAGCCGCCGAATTCTCCTTCAAGTTGTCATAGCAAGGCTGGCGGGGATTATGCCGAGGCTCTGTCCAGAATTGATTCATGTGGAACGCGTGCTTGACGAGCGGAACCGCTGGTGTGAGCGGGAGCCGCTGAGACCCCCTATTTTCCCACCTTCCTCAGACAATCTGGTATTGTTTGGCCGCAGCCTTAGTGATCCCTGCACCAGGGCTGTGACTGACACAGCTTTGAGGCTCTAAGGCGTATTTTGAATTTCTAAAACCTCTCAGGAAGTCCCCGGGGTGCCTTCTGCCATTGTCTTGTTTCTCCTTTCGCCTTTTTCCCTTTCCACCCTGAACCCCTCCCGCCTCCCCCACCGCCTCCTCCCCTTTTTTTTCTTCCCCTTCCTCCCTCTAATTCCAGGCCCTACAGTCCCTAACACAACCCGGATTTTTCTTTCCCCCCATGTTTACGCTCTGACTCTCTCTGGAGCTGCTCAGCCAATTCGCAAACATGATTTAAAAAAAAAAAAAAAAAAAAAAAAAAGAGAAAAACTAAATAAAGCTCTAAAAGTTCCCAAATCCTTGATCCACTGTGGAGAAGAAGGGCTTTACTTGTTTGCTTTTAATCAGCTGACACAAACCCTAGGATGTGTTGAAAAATAATAATAGAAATAAATCTTTCACCTAATCTATCGCACGCCTGTGTCCGTCCCGCTGCCCCCTGCGCTCCAGCCATCCATCGCCCCTCCAGCCCCGCCGGGATCATCCCGCAGGATCTGGCCACGGAGTTTCTGTCTCGGTGAAGCGTTTCCACCAGAAGCCCTCAAAGGGGTGCGGAGGCCCCAGCCCCCAGCAAAGGGCCGGGCTGTCCCCAGCACGGGGTCCGGCTCCGCAGGGTTGGGACCACCGAGCCAGGTCTGCCCCGTCCCCCCGCAGTCCCCGGCCTCTCCTGGGCTCGGCACTATATAACCATTTCCCATTTCCAGTCTTAATCTTATAAGAATGAATTGAGAATGACCAGCGTAAATACACAGGTGCCACTGGGAGCAGAAACCACTCTTTAATCTCAGATATGAAAACAATTCCCTGCTCCACTCGCTAGCAATCAGCAAGTGCTATCAGTGCCGCGCTCTCCCCGGGAACAGGAGAGCTTATAAATATGAATTAGTGCAGAGAAAATCTACTCTCTTACCTAAAGCTAAATGTTATCTGGGTCCCTTTCCAGCAGTGGCTGACATTTCCAGAGTGCTTTTAGTCACATCTGCAGGAAGACAACTCATTTCTTGTTTTAAAAAAAAAAAAAAAAAAAAAAAAAAAAAGGAAAAGAGGGAGAAAGGGAAGAAAGAGGAAGCAGAGGAGCGGGAGGAGGATGAGCGGCAGCGCAGGGAGATGCTGCCTTTGTTTAAAGAGGGAAACGCTGGATGCCTGAGCCTCCTCCGGGAGAGAGGACATGCCGAGTGGGCTCTGCCCCGGCACCCAGCACTGGCCGGGGGAAGGACGGGGTGGCCGAGGAAGCCGGAGCCCCGAGGCAGCGGCACAACGTGCTCCTGCCTGAGCGAGGCCTCGAAACGCGGGTGCTCATGGCTGGGGCGTCGAGCAGCCCCGGGGCGGCTCCGGGTGCCACCACCCACGATGAGCCACGGCTGGTGCCAGTGGGGCACAGCTGGAGCGACACGTAGGGACCACCAAAAGCGGCAAGGTCTGGCCCGAGGGCAGGAGTCGGGGTCCGAGACAGAGCTGGGAGCATCTCCGGGGACACCCTGAAAATGGGAAGGTTCAGTGTGAGGGTGGGTTGTGCTGCCCTGCCAGAGCTGGGGAAACTGAGGCACGGCGTGGGAAATGCTCCCTGGCCGGGGGGAGCTCTTTAGAGAGCGTGAGGAAGGCGATGGGGCCGGGGCGGGGGGGGGGGGCCCTGGGCATCCCCACCAGCAGGAGCTCAGCCCCGGCAGCACATTCCAGGCCTGGGGCTTGCTCTGCTCCAACGGCATCTCTCCCTGAGTCTCCCACCCTCCTGCTCTGGGTGCACGAGGGACCCCCCCACGCCGCCGCTGCATCCCAAAGGGCCCCGCACCCCCCACGGGCCGGTGCTGCTGGAGATGGGGAAGGATGCAGCCCCGCAATGGGTTTGCAAACCCCATCCCTCTTCCCTCCCAGCGCCCGGCTCTGATCCCCGCTACCCGCACACGCCGGCCTCTCACCGCAGCCATATCTGCGAGGGAAGGAACTACAGACCACGAGAGTCTCTAATGGGATGCTTAAGCCGTCTTTTAGGTTTTTAATGAGCGGTTCCTGGCAGGAATGCTAAACATCACTAGGTAGACAGACCTGCCTCACTGTCAGGCGGCGCGATGTGTTTCTGTGTCCTTGTCTGGCTTAAGTGAGCTCTGACCTCATTTGCTTCGTGCCATTCAATTAACAAGGCGAGCGGCGCTGGGGCGGGGAGGGGGGGGGGGGGGGATGCCGGGGGGAGTTTAACCGTATGTATTAATTTCCATTTTATGTTCCAAACAATTGAGCATCGCTCGGTGGCGGGAGGCAGCAGCCGGGCCCTCGCGCTGGTACCGTTCCCAGCCGCCGCTCTGCCCGGGCTCTGCTTTGCCCGCGTCCCCCAGCCCAGTGCTGGGGTTTGGGGGGCCCTCGGGGGTCCCAGCTCCGGCCTCGCCTTCCCATCCTCCATCCAGGGAAGGATCTGTGCCCTGCACGGCCCCTTCGCAGTACTTTGGTTAATGCCCCTTCATCTTGTGCTTCATCCGGAACATCGATGGCTGCGCAATGAGACAAAAATGATTTGGAAGAGGGCGAGAGAAGGAGAGAAATGTTTCCCGGGATGTTAAAAAAAGCGACTTCAGGCACCTAAATTTATGCTGCTCTCAAATGGATTTTATTCCAGTGTAATGAGAGAACAAAATAATTAATTCCTTTCCCACAGACAAAAGGCTAGAGGCTTTCCTCCAGCCCCATCTCCCCACCAAGCCGGCGGGAGGACAGGCCGGTTCCCAGTGCAGCTCAACTGGTGCTGGGGCTGGATCCTGGGGGTGCAGCGCAGCCCCTTCCCGCAGGCGGGGGGCCGGGTCTGCACCCCGGGAAGGCGTCCCGGCTGAGGACGGGGTGCTGCAAAGGGCAGCCCCCTCCTCTCAGGGCTGACGTGCTTGTGGGGTGCTGTGGGGTGTGCAGGGCACCAGGGTTGCCCCATCACCATCTCCCGCTGCCCTGGCTGGCTCCAGCCCCACGCTCCACCCAGCACCCACCCGTGGGTGGCAGTGGGTGTCTGCAGGCTCCGTGGGCAGGGTTGCCACCCCCTCGCCAAGAGGCAAATTACCGGGTTTCCAAAGGGAAGGGGCTACCTCTGCTCTTCAAACACAGCCCCCCGCTCTTTGGGGGCTGGGGATAAACAGGGGATTGTGCGTGTTCTCAATATTATATTACATTAATTATGCAAACCAGCCTCTTCCAGCCCCCCCTTATCTCTACAATGTACCAGGACGGCGAGAAACGGAGGGAGAGTCAATTTATTCACTTAGCAGGTCACTCCCTTTAAGAACATCCCTTTCAAAAGGGAGTTGCAACTAGACTAGATCAAGCAGGGCTGAGTTTGCCTCCCTCAGATATGATAAAATATTCTAATAAATACTTGGGAAGCCCATTACAAGGAGGATGTTTCATGTCGGCAAGACCTTCATGGCAGGGCCTTTCATGCGGGTCTCCCCTTCGAGCTGCGGCAGTGGGGGGACTGTGCAGCATCCCTGGGCCCCACTGCCTGTCCGTCCCATGCAGAGGGTCACTGCCCCACGGGATGCTCTCCCTATTTCCAATTTTTAATAGCAAAACGTAAAAATCTGCTCCTGGCTCGCAGCTCTGGGGAGCGGGGTTGAAAAGTAGCCCCTCTTTTCTGGGCAGCCTCGGTTCCCAGCCAGGGTGGACAAGGAGGGGGAACAGAGTGTGTGGCCGGAGACCCCCTCCCCGGCTCCTGCATGGTCGCTGTCGGTGGTGGGACCCACGGCTGGGGGCTTGGCCGGGATTCGTTTCCTCCCCGTGTAGGTACAGGAGGAAGCTCCTGCTCGGGCCCCTTTGCTGCGGGAAACACAAAACCCCACAGGGCTCCCCAACAGCACAGACGGCGCCAGCCCCGGGGCCAACTGCACCCCAACCCCATCCCCAGTGATATCCCCACTCCCAGCCCCATCCCCACTCCCATCCCAGCCCCAGCCCCAATCCTACCCCAAACCCATCTCCATTCCCCATCGCGATCCAGGCCCCAGACCACCCCATCCCCAATCGCAGTCCCACTCCAACCCCACCCCATCCCTGGCTCCATCTCCCCCAACCCTTGGCCCCATTCCCCCCACCCCCCCGCCGTCATGTCCCCCCCTTCCCTTCCCGTCCCCATTCCCGCCCCATCCCTTCAACCCAATCCCGCCCCAATCCCGCGCTCGGCCCCTCCCTGCCCCCTCCCACTCTCACCCCCTTCAACCCCCCTCCCCACCCCCCTCCCGCCCCTATTTCACCCGCTCCCCCCCCCGTTCTCCCCCCCCGCTCCCATCCCACGGCCGACGGCGTCACCGTGCGGCAGCGGCCGGCAGCGCCCGGGCCCTCCCCGGGGCAGGGCGGGCTGCGGCCGCCGGGACCCCGAGGGGGGGGTGCTGAGCTCTGGGTGCTCCCCAAAGCAGGGCAGGATCCGGGAGGGGCTATGCCGGGCTGTGGGTGCTCCCCGCGCCGCGGCAGAATCCGGACCCCCCGCCGTGGGTGCAGAGCTGTGTGTCCTCCCAGGGATGGGAGGCAGGATCGGGCCCTCGGCACCCGGCGGGAGGGGGGCCGGGCGCTCCCCGGGGTGCGGGGCCGGCGCGGTAACCTCCCCCCCCCCCCGCCCCGTCCCCATCCTGACCCCACCGCGGGGCCGGATCCTGACGTTGGGTTGTGGGTGCTGAGGGAGCGGGTGCGGCGTGAAGCCCGGAGCGGAGCCCGGAGCCCCGCGGGGCGCGGTGCAGTGGCGGCGTGGGGCCGTGGGGTGGCACGGCCGAGCCAGCCGGGAGCGCGGCGTGGGGCGGTGATGCTGCCTGGGAGGGTCCCCGGCCCCGCACCCCCACCTTCCTCTCTCCCTGCATCCCGGCAGCCCCGCGGTCCCACATCCCCGCAGCCTTGCATCCCTGCATCCCTCCATCCCTGCATCCCTGCATCCCTCCATCCCTGCATCCCTCCATCCCTGCATCCCTCCATCCCTGCATCCCCTCATCCCCACATCCCTCCATCCCCACACTCCTCCATCTCCACATCCCAGCGCTGCTCAGCACCCCACTCAGCACTGCCAAGGAGCTAAACCTAACCCCCCCACCACCCTCCCCAGAGCAGGGGGGTGTGGTTGGGGGGGGGGACGGACCCTGCCCATCGGCTGGCAGCACGGGCCCGGGGGGCTGCAGCCGGGTGCAGAACCAGCAACGAGGCGTGGGGGGGGGCTGAGCGGCCCCCACACCCAGCGCCCACCCCCCCACACCCAGCTGCCCCGCACCGGGGATGAGGCAGCGCCGAGGGGGACACGGCTCCGCCGCGCAGCGACGCCACAGCTAACGGTACGTACCAGCTCCCCAAACCTCACCCGAATATTAATGGGGTTGCAAAGAGCAAGAGTGGGGAGGGGAGAGGAGGGGCACGTACTCCCCGGGGCGGCGGGTGTGCTTCATGTTGGGGTGTTTTTGGGGGTGGCTGCAGGAATCGGGGTGCAAATACCCCAATGTGCCAGCCTGTGGGGCACAGCCTGTGCTCCGGGGGCAGGGTCCAGCCTGATGGGCTCTGAAGAGCCAAGGCGGCCCCAAAAATGTGGGGATGGGGTAGGAAACAGAAGGGGACTGGGGGGGGGGGGGCCTGGTGTGAAAAGCTGGGGGAGGGACACAGCATAGTTGTGTGGGGGAGTATCACCTCCAAAAAGGCAGCGTACGTGCCTGGTGGGAAGGAGATTTGTGGCTGCGACTTCATCGCGCTCGCTAATCCCGAGCGCTGCTTTTTGCTGGGCCATCTGGGTGCTGGCCAACCGGGGGGGGGGACGGTGAGGCGGGGGGGCCGTGGCGATGGTTGGGTCTCTTCTTCCCAGCAGCTAGCGGGAGCTCGCTGCCCCTGGCCCACCATGCCCTCCTCCAAGACTGGCAGCGAGTACTGGATCGATGGGTCCCACCGCGAGACGGCCCTGGAAGATTTCTACATCGTGGGCCCTGAGCTGGGCCGGTACCGGCTGGCGGGGGGGTCAGCGGGGGCTGGCGGGGGGGGCAGGAGCCCATCTTGCATGGGAGCGTGTCCTGCTCGGGGCAGGGACTGGCCTGGTGGGGAGAGGAAGGGGTGTGAGGGATGGATGAAGAGGGATGGAAGGATGGGGAAGGAGGGGGGGCCCTGCCCTTGCATGTAAACTGGGGTGTGGGGTCTGTCATGGGGCTGCAGCAGCGGTTTTGGGGGCACCCACAGAGGTTTTGCAGGATGGGGCCCGGGGTCCCCGTGAGCGTGGAGCTGTGTGATTCTCACCCTTGTGGTGGAGGGTGGGCTCATGGCGAGGCCCCCTCTCCCCTCTGAGCAGCCCAAGGCTTTGGGGAGGTGGGCGATGAGCCTGGCACAGCGTGGGGCTGCGGTGGGTCCCTCCTGCAGCAGCCCCCCCCATGGTGGACAGGCAGGGCGAGCCCCAGAGATGGGACACAGCACCACATCTGGATTTGTCCCACTTGGGTCAGAAAGCCTCGCCGAGGGCACCGGCTCTGTCCCCGTGTGCGGTGGCTCAGAGAGGAGCCGCCTCAGCAGCCACCGGCTGCTCCGTGGTGGCTCTTGTGATTTATTTATTAGAGGCCCTACCGTAAATCCTCATGGGCAGGGGACATCCGGGCTGGTGCGCCGGGTCCCGTGGGTGCTGCGCCCCATTTCCCACGTGCTCTAACCCTGCCCAAAGGCAGCACCCAGCTCCGCGTCCCCGGCGGGTTTCCCCTCGCCGCTGGCACACACTGCTCCGGTGCCGCCATCCCTCCGCGGCAGCTCGGCCCTTTCCCAGCACTGGGGGGGGGGGGGGCTGCCGGTGCCCTGGGGCCACACCGCACCCCGGAGATGCGCAGGCCCAGGTCCCGTGGAGGAGAGCGGCAGCGCTGGCACTGAGGGGCTCCCGTGGTGACAAGGGGCAGCGGGTGTCCCAGTGCCCCCAGGGCAGGGGGGGCGCAAGGGGGGGCTGCGGGAAGTCTGACAGTCCTGTTTGAGGGGGGCTCGGGGCTGTGCCGGCAGAGAGGAGGCCATGCCGCCCGCCGAGCCCCGGCAGGGCAGGATGTTTTCAGTGGTGGTTGCTCAGCTGGGGGCCAGCCCCAGCCGTCCTCAGGCTTTCCATCAGCAGAGGAGCCTCTGAGCCTGAAAAACAGCAGCTTTGGTAAAAAACAGGTATTTAAGGCTTCTTATCGCAGCGCAGCCAGTGTCAGCGCAAGGCTTGGCAGCACACAGCCCTGTGCAGGGGGACGTGGGACAGAGGGACAGGCTCTGAGCCCCTGGGGACGCCTTTGAACCGTCCATCCAGCTTCAGCATCCAGGTTGAAATCAAACCGGTCTCGGTCTTGGAGCCGTTGGCTGGTGGCTGACCCGGGGCGGTGGGACCCCGCTCGCCGTACGCAGCTTTTTCTCGGTGCCCCTCTGCCGCGGTGCCGGGGGGACCCAGCCTGGAGCAGCCCGGGGGTGATGCGGAGCGGCGGGGGGGTCTGCTCTCGGCAGCATTCACCCTGATGCGCGCTGGCTCGGCCGCGAGTCCGCACCGTCCTCCCCACGGGCCCCGCCGCCGGTCCAGGCTCTCTCCGCAAATCCCATTGTTCGACATTTTCCAGTTCATCTGTAAAGCAAATGCAATTATCTCCTGTCGCAGTCAGGGCTGATTGCGGATATTTATTTGAGGCCTCAAGAAGCAGCGAGCGGCGGCTGCTGGGGCCGGCGGGGCGAGGAGCCGGGGTGCAGCAAGCGCCGGCGCGAATCCAGCCACTGCTATAACTGGGAATGCGCAAGGGGCAGCTGGTGCCGTGCCATGGGCATCTGAGGGGCAACCCCCCCCCCTCCAAAATGCCGAGCCGAGAGTTTCCAAACGATCCTGTTTTAGCAGCAGGAATTGGGCTGCGAATTGTCCATGTGGAAAAATTTTGCAGGAGAGTGAGAGGCGATGGGTCCAGCCTGGGGCTCAGCTGTGGTGAGGGGATGAAAGGAGGAGTGGGGGGCTGTGGGTCCTGCCCCCGCACCTGCGCCGGCTGGGAAATCAGAGTTACCAGGCGTCTGCAGCAGGGCAGAGTGCAGCTGCTTTACTGCAAAGCACCCGGTGAATTTCGAAATCCCCCTGCCCTGAGCTGAGTCCTGGCTGCGGGGGGGGTCTGGAATGGCTGCCACAGCGGGGGGAGATGCTTGTGGCTTTTTTCTCCCACTAGAAGCGCATTATTGTTGCAGTCACAGCAGCAGCCATGCCATTTTGGGCTCAAATTGAAGCCTTCTGCCCATTCTGAGCTGGAGATGAAGGTGGCAGCAGCCACCTCTCCCCTCCAAGCCTGAGCAATTTGTTTCCAAATTGCTTTTTATTCATAAAATAAAATGTCATAGAGAACATAGAGCAAAAGGAATAAAATGTTTTGAAAATGGCCCAAGGTCTAGAATTGCTGGGTTTTGCTCACCCCACAGCATCCCTGTGGTACCTGGTACCCGGCTCTGCCGTTGCCATGGGAACGCGATTCCCAAGTTCAGCCGGATGAGTTGCAAAATCCGCTCTCGTTTTGAAAGCAAATCTCTCTCTCACGAGAGCACCCCAGGGAGCGCCGGCGGGGCATTCAGCGCGTGGGGCTGCAGCAAAAGGTTGGGGCTGGCCTCGGGCTCGGGGGAGATTTTGGTGTAAAAGACGGTGTCTGGGTACACGGGCTGACCTTTTGGGGTCGGCGCTCGCCAGGGCCGGGGGGCACAGGCAGGTGGGGATGCCGTGTGCCTCGAGGCAGAGCTTGAACTCGGTCCCAGAAGATGGTGAAGCCAAAGAGCAATAAAACGTGGTCGATTACTCGGGGCGAGAATTAATCTGCTCCGAGGAGCCAGGCAGCAAAGATGAAATTGCAAACGAGCCCTGTAATGGCCTGGAGCAATGGGCTGATTTCACCGTCCAGTGGTTAGAAAACGTTATTAACTAGGTCTAAAAATCACCAGCAGCTGAGGGGCACTGCTGGGGGTTTAACGGGAACGATCCCTCTTGTAACTGGGAGCGGTTTAAACTGGCAGGGAGGTTTGGAGGTGGCCTGGGGTCGCCCCGTATGGGATGGGGACCCTCACAGCGTCCCTGCAGTCCCCGCTGGGGTTGTCCTTGCGGCTACAAGCAGGGAGAGGGAGGCTCCATCCTGTCGTGAAAGCTGCTTAAGGATTTAGACCCCCTGTAGGACTTGGGTTTAATTAAAATGGCTTTACCCAGGGAAGCTGGAAATGATGCGGGGAGGGGGATGCACGCTGAGCTCCCAGGGCCTGGTGCTGGCAAAAGTCATGGCTCGGGGCGGGGTATGGGGTGAGTGGGACCCCCCTCTCTGTCCCGGCCGCATCCAGGCTGCCTCATGCACCCTCTGCCCTGCTGCAGGGGAGCCACCTCGGTGGTGTACAGCTGCGAGGAGAAGGGCACGGGCACCCCGTACGCCGCCAAGATGCTGAAGAAGACGGTGAGTGTCAGCAGGGTGGGAGGCTGCAGTGGTGGGGGGGTGTCCCTCCTCCTCCACCAAAGCACCTCGGCCCCGGGACGGGCATGGGGCTGGCGGGTGGGCACCACTCCTGCAGTGCGGCGGTCCCAGATGGACAAAAACACTGGGGTTTGGGCTGGGGGGCGGGGCTGGGTACTGGGTGCATTTTGCTGCTGCTGGGAGAGCCCTGGGAATCCGCAGGGAGCAATTTAGGGGTGGTCTCTGCGTGGCGGGGGGGTCAGACCCCAAGTCAGCAGTGCAGATAATGCCGTCTCTGTGTGGGCTCTGCTTTCTAGATCGACAAAAAGATCGTGAGGACGGAGATCGGGGTCCTGCTGCGGCTCTCGCACCCCAATATCGTGAGTACGCTCCCTTCACGTCGGGTCGGCGCGGCTGCTGGGGGCGGCTCTCCCCTTAACTCTGCCCAGGGGCAGCCCAGGAGCGCGGCCGTGCCGAGGGAAGGGTTGGGATGTCCTCCTCCTCATCCCGTCTCGGTGCAGGATGAACCCCCCACCCCATGGGAAACCCTGCCTGCACCCCACATCCCCTCCCTGCCTTGCAGATGGGCTCCAGATGCCCGGTCCTCGCCGTGGCGTGGTGACTCCCCACTCGCTGCCACATGCAATTCCCAGTCCTTGCAGCCCACTTGAGCTTCCCACCTCCAATATCGCGGGCCAGGCCCCCCCCCCCCGCCCCCTTATCTCCCCCCATTCCCTGGCTTGAGATTTCCATTTGGTAAGCAATTTCCATCGAGGAGATCAAATGAATGCCACAGAAAATTGCCCATCTGTAATGAATCCTGCAAGGGGAGATAAAAGGCAAGGATGGGACCGCGGGTGCCGGGCGCTGTGTCCCGGCGCGGCCAGCTGCCGTTTCTCTTGCTCAGCGCTCGGGGGATAACGGCGGCTCGGCTGGAATGATTTGCAACGCCCAGGAGCGGATCTAATCACCACCGGTGTCAGCAGAGCCGGGGCGGCCGTGTCAGCCCCTCTGCGATGGCAGGGGGGTGGGGGGGGTCCGCGCCGCCTCCCTCCCTCCCCCAGTCCCTCCACCTGCCAGAAAAGCTTATTCCAGACTGCTTAGTTCCACCGGCAAATTGCAAAAGCATCTCAGAGGCGACCCCAGTTAAAGAAACAACACAAAAAAAGTCACCTGGCAGCTGCTGCTGGTGCAGCGCTGGGCGCTGCGGCAGAGCCCGCTCCAGTGGGGTCTGTGGCCAGGACATCGCCCGGGCATCGCCTCGCCGCTGGCTGCTGCTGCCCAAGCTGATATTTTTCTTGCAGCATCACTCAAAACTCTGAGCGCGGCTGCTTCCAGCCTTTTTCAACTGTCCTTTGCTCTCTGGAGGAGCACCGGTGGGGATGTCCTGCCTGTCCGCCACTATCCAAAACCTTGATGCAAAGAGACAAAGCTGAGAAAAGTCCAAAACATCCTAAAAACAGGGCTGATGGGGGCAAACATGGTCCCTAAGGCCCTGGGCCAGCTCGGTGTGGGCCTGCCTCAGGCACTGGGGTGTTCCAGTGTTTTGGGGCAATCAGGCACTTCAGCTTTTCCATGGAGACGCTTCCCCCATCCTGAGACGTTTGGGCAGGCGCAGGGAGAAGAGCCGGGATGGGGAGCAGCCCCGGGGATGCTCAGGTGGTACCACCCACGGATGGGGATGGGCTCCTTGCTGGGGTGTTATCAGAAACACAACAGAAAATTCAATTTCTGCCCTCCCTCCTTTGCTCTCCAGGCAGCGGCACCACGGAGACGTGCAGGAGGAATCAGCCGGGGAGTTTTAATATTTAAATCACTGAGTTTTCTGTAGGGTTTTGCTCACTCTCAAGTTCAAGTGATTTTTGAAGAGATGCTCTGTTTCATTATTTACGCTGGTGCCATCTATGAGCTCACTATCGTTCAGCACCAACCTCAACAGTGGATGATAATAGGATTGCAAACTTTTGAAGTTAATAGGAAAATTATAGTGCTTCCATGTATTATTATAATGCAATAAGCTGCCACACAGTGTCTCTCACCCTGCGGGGTATCACGGCTTGTCACCCAGCCTATGAAGGTAATGATTAAAGCCCCATGAAATTCGCAGTGTCACAAAAGTCTTAAGAAGCATGAAATTCTCTGTTTTCCATTAAAAAAAAAAAATAAAGAATTTGCATTTTGACGTAGTTTTAAGAGAGACCTGTTAATTCCAGATTTGCTGCAGTGGCACAAAGGTCTCGTGCAGACAGGCTCACCTTGTGTGGGAGCTAGAAAACAAAAATCAGGAGAAAACCAGTTTCTTTAGTGCTTCTTCTCCTGCGAAATGGTCCAAGGGATGTTTCCAAAAGTGCTCGCTGGGTCCCCAGGCCCAGAGGTGGCTTTGTCTCCTCGGGGCTCCGTGCATCTCCTGCATCCCTGCAGCTGCAGATGCACAGGATCCGTCCCGGGAGGGACTGGGCAGGGCTTTGCCGGGGTCACTCCACGCTGCGGGGCTGGACCCGGGGTGCCGGCACGGCCGACGAAGCTGTGCAATTAGAAAGATTTTGGTGAGCTCCTCTTCTGGCTAACGAGCTTGGCGACACGAAGAGGATGAAGGCGCTACATGCCCGTCTCCTCCCGTTCCCAGCACCGCCTTTAATGCACGATTAAGTGAGCAGGGCTGCTGCAAACAGTTAAAAAAAAAATAAAATTCACATTCGAATAAAAAGGCAAAGGAGGGAAGAGTGCCAGCTGCCCCGCTAAGCCCCTCGCGTCCGGCGGTCACGCTCCCCCGGGCACAGCCGGCCCCCCCAGCCCTCCTGTCGCCCCTTCCAGATCAAGCTGAAGGAGATTTTCGAGACGCCCTCGGAGATCGCGCTCATCCTGGAGCTGGTGACGGGAGGAGAGCTCTTCGACAGGTACGCCCGGCCCCGCGATCCCCACCCCGGCTCCTAACCGGGGGCACGAAGCCCACCCTGATGGTGGGTGGGGAGGATGAGGATGGGAGGGGGCTGACGCACCCCGGGGTTGGGGGCTGGAGGGGGAGGGGGAGGTCTGTGCAGGGCAGGGCGCTGCCGTGCTGACCCCGTGTGCCCGCAGGATCGTGGAGCGGGGTTTCTACAGCGAGCGGGACGCGGCCCACGTCGTCAAGCAGATCCTGGAAGCTGTTTCGGTAATGTCCCCCCCTCCGTGGCCCCGGGGGACAGCCTGGTGAGGGGATCCCATGCATGGCTCAGGGGTGTCGCCACGGGGGCTGCACCCACCCCAAATACCCCCAGGGAGAGGTGTCCAGAGCTGCACCCACCCCAAATATCCCGGGGGAGAGGCACCCAGAGCTGCAACCACCCCAAATACCCCCGGGGAGAGGCGCCCAGAGCTGCACCCACCCCAAATATCCCGGGGGAGAGGCGCCCAGAGCTGAACCCACCCCAAATACCCCCGGGGAGAGGCGCCCAGAGCTGCACCCACCCCAAATACCCCCAGGGAGAGGCGCCCAGAGCTGCACCCACCCCAAATACCCCCGGGGAGAGGCACCCAGAGCTGCACCCACCCCAAATATCCCGGGGGAGAGGCGCCCAGAGCTGCAACCACCCCAAATACCCCCAGGGAGAGGTGTCCAGAGCTGCACCCACCCCAAATACCCCTGGGGAGAGGCGCCCAGAGCTGCACCCACCCCAAATACCCCCGGGGAGAGGCACCCAGAGCTGCACCCACCCCAAATATCCCGGGGGAGAGGCGCCCAGAGCTGCAACCACCCCAAATACCCCCAGGGAGAGGTGTCCAGAGCTGCACCCACCCCAAATACCCCTGGGGAGAGGCGCCCAGAGCTGCACCCACCCCAAATACCCCCGGGGAGAGGCATCCAGAGCTGCACCCACCCCAAACATCCCAAGGGAAAGGCGTTTCCTCACTCGCCCTTGGCCTTCCCAAGGCATCACTAGCGGAGGTGCCTCTTCTAATCCGCGTCTGGGGGGGACGAAGGAGAGGAGGGAGGAAGGTCAGCGCTGCTCTGCATCACAGGTCTGCTGGAGATGAGGTTTCTATGGCAACGGGAGGGTTTAAAAATGGAAACTCCTAGCAGGAAACATCCTGCCTGTGCCCCCCGTGGCCGTGCCGGCAGCTCCAGCCCTGCAGGTGTTGGGTGTTTCCAAAGGAATAGTCGGACAAGTTGGTCCTGTGTTTGTGCCAGGGCCCGGATTGCTGCTACCACCTCCCAAATTCTGCTTCCCCCCCCCGCCTCCTCTCCCATGTCCCCGCTTTCTCTCTCCAGTATCTGCACGAAAATGGAGTTGTCCACCGTGACCTGAAGCCAGAGAACCTGCTCTACGCAGACCTGTCCCCCGACGCTCCCCTTAAAATCGGTGGGTTTGCTGTGGGCCCTGGGGTGGGGGTGGGGGCGGGTGTCCGTGGCAGGAGAGGGGTTAACAGTGCCGCTCCCCTCTGTGTCCCTCCAAGGTGACTTTGGGCTCTCCAAGATCGTGGATGAACAGGACACCATGAAAACCGTCTGCGGGACGCCGGGGTACTGCGGTGAGCAGGAGGGGAGAGCCGGGGAGGCTGCTCCCTGCCTGAGGCCACGCACAGCTCAGTGCAGGGATGGCCGACGGTCAGGAGGCACTGCCGGTGCCCACGGGGTGTTTCCTCCGCCGTGAGGTTCCCACCGTGGCCGCGTTGCCGGGAGCTCCCCACACCCTGCCCGTTTGAACCCCAAACTCTGCTTCCAGCCCCCGAAATCCTCCACGGGTGCCCCTACGGCCCCGAAGTGGATATGTGGTCCGTGGGCGTCATCACCTACATCCTGTGAGTAACGCTGCCGGGGTCGCGGCGGCGAGGCCGTCGGGAAACGCCAGCACGGCTGCGCGGCGGGGCCCGGGCGGCGGCGTGTAGCTCCTCTCTCCCGCGCTCGCAGGCTCTGTGGCTTTGAGCCCTTCTTCGACCCGCGAGGGGACCAGTACATGTACAGCCGCATCCTCACTTGCGACTACGAGTTCGTGTCCCCGTGGTGGGATGAGGTTTCCCTCAACGCCAAGGACTTGGTGAGCGAGCCAGCGCCACGGCTCGGGGGCCGCCGAGCACGAAGCCTTCAGATCAGTGCTTGTCAAGATGACAAAACTAGGGGCGTTTAACAAATGAAGCTTTTTTGTGCACCTGAAATCGGTTACAGGTCCGAAAGTTGATCGTCCTGGACCCCCAGAAGAGGCTGACTGTCTACCAGGCTCTGGAGCATCCCTGGGTCACCGGGAAAGCCGCTAAATTTGCTCACATGGACAGCACGCAGAAGAAACTGCAGGAATTTAATGCCAGGCGGAAACTGAAGGTAAGGTGAAAAAGCCCCGTTAACACCCGGGGGTGGCTCGTGTTTGTGTCCCCTCGGGCAAACGGCTGGGGCCCCCCACGAGCCACTGTCAGAGGGTTTTAAGGATCCCCTGCCCCGAGTGGATAAATGTTCTGCGGCACGTGGCAGCTGGGGGAGAGGGGGGAAGGATGATGGAGCGGCTCCTTGCACAGCCATGTCCCCGGGGGAGCAGCAGCGGCTGGGAAAAGCCTTGCCTGAGGCGGAAGGCTGGGCTTCCCAGCTTGGCGTGGCAGCAGGCACCATCTCCCCTTCTGCACGTTCCGGGGGGCTCGAGCGCCTGAGGAACGGCGCCGAGGAGGAGAACTCTGCCAGACAGACACTGATAACGGCTCACCCCGCTCTGCCTTTGCAACAGGCTGCCATGAAAGCCGTGGTGGCTTCCAGCCGCCTGGGCAACCACGGGCACCACGACTGCTCCCGCAGCGGGCGCAGCCAGGGGGGTCCCCGGGGTGCCTGCCTGCCCCAGGGGACGGGGACCGCCAGCCCCGAAGCCAGCGCCACCGAGGACCTCGACGCTTTCCAGAGCGACTGTCCCGCCATGTCCCAGGTTCCCGTGACCGGGGCTGGCTGCAAGAGCTAACGTGTTCGGCGGTGCCGCCGGCTCGCCGCCGCTTCGGCAAGCAACACCCCGCCGCCCCTCGGCCGCTGGCACGGGGAGAGGCAGGGGAAGCCGGGGGGGACAGGAGCACCCCGAGCGTGGGTGTGCGTCGGGAGCCCGTGGTCTGTGGCGTGGAGCATCCTTCTGTAGTGTCCTGTTGCCAAGTGCAGTCGTAGCTGGTCGCTGTGAGTGTGTGTCTGTACGGACCCGACTGAGGAAACAAGGCTGGGGACTCGGTCTTCCGACAAATTAACCATTTTGGACACTGTGGCTGGAAAAAATCCCAAGTGGCTTAAAAACGAGGAGCAAACAGCAGAAAAAGGATTTCTTACACCTTCCCTGCAAAGGCAGTAAGTTGTCTTTAGGACAGAGTTTTGCAAGTTCCTGTACACAGTCCCGAAGGGTTTATTTGCTGAGGGGAGAGGTGTGTCGGGACCGTCGCTGACCACTGGCGGTACCTCTCCAGTCGCGGTTACAGGACCCCGCTGAGGGTTTGCTGCTGTGTTAGACCAGGTTTTCAGGAGCCTTTGAACCCAGCTCTTTGATCCTACCCGGAGAAAAAGTGTTTGCCAGTGGTTCCTTTATTATCTCTAGATGGTAGACGACCTCTGCTTGATTTGTGCTTTGGTTCTCATTCGTTCCCACGTTCAGTCTTGCTGCGGGTACGTGGTGCTGGTGAGATTGTCACAAACAGGGAATGCTGGCTTGTCTGGCTGCTGCGCCGGCGTTCCAGGTTACGGCTCACACGATGAGTTTGAACAAAGAACAGTGGAACTCTTTCTACGGCGCGTTGTAAGACTTTGTAACACGTAACGGTGCTGCTGTTTCCTGAGTGAGGACAATGAGTTTATACGTATTTTGGTTTTTGTTTTTTGTTTTTTTTAAGACTAATGCAATCAGTTGAAAAACTTCTTGAAAAGAAATTTTTTAGGCAGTTATTTATGAAGCCACGGGATAGGCGTTTGCAGATTTTAATACAGAACAACTAATCAGACAGGAAAAGCCATATTACACAGGCAGGATTACAGAAAGCCTGGCAGCTGCTCCGCAGTCCCAGCTGGTGTGATCCAGCACAAGCTCAACTAGCCCGGGGCGATGATGTGACCTGCACCCCTCGCGGGTTGGGCCATACACACAGAACAGTGTGTTCGGCAAAAAATATCTCAGCTGGAGAGGAACTAAATCTGTACATGAGGTTAATTTTTCCAGGATGGGGGGACACAGAACTGACTCCTTGATAAAGGAAGGGCTGCAAATGAAAATTAAAATTTTGCTGAAGCTGAAAGCCGCCATTACAGACAGCTGGCTCGGCGCAGGGCGCAGGTCAGAGGGTCAGAGCTGTAATCGGGGCGGCAGGAAAGCAAATGTAACACAGCGACCTTCATATTTATTTACAGCACAAGCAGAAATCACCAAGTGTAAGGGCTGAGCCATACTGTATGAAGCTCATTTCTGCTTAGGGTGCTTGTAAAGCCAAATACAGAGGAGGGATCAGATGTTCAAGAGAGTTTTTTAATTGGAATACTATTAGGTCTTAACCAGAAATGTGCTTTTTTTTAAAACTAAGTCATACCTTTAATGGGGAAGCAGATGCACAGCAAGATTTCCCTTTGGAGAAAGCAAACGCTGATACCATGGGAGAAAGCTCCAGCAAAGGGAAAAATATTTCTTTTTCTTTGCGTTTTGCAGGAGGGGTGGTTGTTTTCTCTCCTTTTTTTCACATCAAGGGCTGAACCTTGCAGTGTGCTTAACTCCGGTCTTTATCCTACGCTTGGGGTGACACTCTCTGTCCTTCAGACTCTGCGATGTGTCCTCATTTACTCCAGTGGGGCCAGAACTCCAACTTTAACCATGTTGTTTACTACCCCGAGTTTTAAGACTATTTTATATCCTTTGACATGAAATCCTTACTCAAACGCCTTGCAGGAGTAGGCCAGAATGCTCAGTGCACCCTGACCCTGTGAAGCAGGGCCTGACGAATGTTGCCCTGCCCGCAGACCATGCCTGATCCCGCAGAATAATGGGAAATAAGGGGATTAGGAGACAGGCAACAGTGCCTTCAGCGATGGAAGGCAGCCGGGGGAAAACTTTAAGCAAAATAGGAGTTGGCCTCTTACATCAACGAAGTATTATTCCACAAATATCAGCATTTAAAGGTAGAAAAAAGTATTCCTGGGAGTAAAGCTAATAGGAGACGCCATTTGGGTCTGTATGCTGTTTTCAGAACGTGTTTTAATAACTTACTACTTCAGTATAGTGGTGACATTTCCGATATTGCAGGTATTTATGAAAAAGTACAGACATCTAATAAAGCATCAAGCATCACAATGCGGGCTCCGGTTTGACTTTTATCCTCAGAATACAAGGGCTAAAAATCGAGAGGGCCAAAAATCGAGAGGGCCCAATAGCAGCTTGCCAAGAGCCTTTTGTTTTTTCTGGTTTTAATCCATTTTCAGGCTCTGGACAAGCGCTCACTATCCCTCCAGCTACGGCGATTTCCGTTGCCTGACGCAGCTGCAGCTTATTTTGCCTTTTGTCTCCAGGTGTAAATACCCGCTGGACTTCCAGACGTTTTAAGCAGGGCCTGCCTTACACAAGGACAGGAATTTAAAGTGAAGTAATTTGACCTGAAAAAAAAAAAAAAAAAAAAAAAAGGCAAAGCAATTTAACCTGAAAAAAAAGAAAAAAAAGGACAAGAACACAAACCCCTTGTAATGCTGAATTAGAAAAGCGCCTTTGCCAAAGTCCTGAGGGGAGCGGGGGGGGGGGGGGGGGGGGGGAAGGAGGGGGGGAACCCCTCCCACATGCTACGTCACCCACACAGCACCACCGCCCGGGACGCGCAGGGCCCTGACATCACCGCCGCGGCGGGAGGAGGAAGTGACGCCAGAGGCAAGGCGGTGCCTCAGCGGGGGCGGGGCGTGTCCCGAACCTGCCAATAGAAAGAGAAGGCGGAGGGGCGGGGAAATGGGAGGAGCGGGCGCTCTGATTGGCTAGAGTGCGTCTGTGTTGTGGCGGCGGAAAGGGAGCGCTCCGCGCCCGAACGGGGGCCGCTGATTGGCTGCCGCGTTGCCGGGGCGGTGGGGGGGGAGAGGCGGCGCATGCGCAGAGTCGGGCGGGCAGCCTGCGATGGTGGCGGGGCAGCGCACGGTGAGAACCGGGACGTGAGGGGAGCGTGGCCCTGAGCCTTGGCACCGGCACCGGCACCGGCACCGGTGGGGCGGGAAGGGACGGGACGGGACGGGACGGGACGGGGCGGCCCGGGTTGGCACGGCCCCGCCCCGCCCTGCCCCTTGGCTGCGGGCACCGAGCGGAACCGCCGGCCCGCGGAGCCTCAGGGCTTCGGAAGCCCAGGGGATTCTGTTAACGGGCCTGTCTTAAAACTTTCCCGGCCTTTAAGAAATGCGTGAGAGCTCTGTGGCTGGTTCGCTCGGATTATAATTGTCAACTACGTACGGAAATTAGCGCAGCACAGCGTAATTTACCCGAGGTGACAAGTGGCCTCCGTCATCAGGATTTGGGAGCTGCAGAATGTTTTTTCTTTATTTGTGACTGCTTTCTACACTTACACGTTCAGTGAGACCTTCTTATGGTGTACGGCTATAGAAAGATAAACTATTAGAAGTTAATTTTGGAGAATGCTTGCAGACTAATATTAGTCCCGTGATCTCAAAGGTCAAATTATGCATAACTGTAATAATTTGTGTTCTGTTTAAGTCCTAATTTCTTTTAAAAGAAAAAAAGGAAGACAAAAATCTTGGGTAACTCTTTTTTCCTTTTTCTTCAGAGCACACTGGAATTTTCCTTTTGGGTGTGAAACAGTCATGGCAGATCAAGAGTACGTTCTTTGCATGTGGAAGAAGCGTTTATGGCCAGCAAAGGTAAAGCAGATGTACAAATTGTGGCCACAACTTAGAAATGGATGAAATGGAGTAGTAAATAAGAAAGAGCTCCAAGAAAACATGTATGTACTTTAAAAAATAGCTAATCTGTAGGGATCCTAATCCTTTAACCAGATGCCACAGAATATCAATCCATTCTGCGTTGTTCATATTAAAAATGTTATGATATCAGATCGGCTCTCTAGTCTAATAGACTTGATCAGGGATTTTAAATGCATGTTTTCCTCTTGAATGTAGGTTTTGTGCAGAACTGGAGTTGCTGGGAAAACATCTATTACTAATGTGAAGACGACTTCTTTTAAAGTTGAAATACTTGGCTTGAAAGAACAGTTAAGTATCCTTGTTACTGTCATATGTTTGCACTCTTAGACATTAAAAAAAAAAAAAAAGTAATCCCGTTATCTGAAGATACCTGTGAAAACAGATCATTGATTTCCAGAAGGATTAGATGGCTAACCCAAAACCCGCTGCCTTTTTGGAGCTGGCCATCTACTTGTCTCCTGGTACATCCATGAGCAGCATGCTGACTGCTAGCTCAGGCATTCTTCATGGGCGTTCTTTTTTTCTTAACTTCTGCTAACAAGTACAGGTTTTGGGGAAAAAAAATATTGCAAATTTGTTGCCAGGTGAGAGCAGTGTCATGCTGTTAGTCATGTTTAATGCTGTGACATTTTGATCAGCTTTACTGTGTTTTCAGGATTAGTGTGAACTGTGCAGATGCTGTACCGCTGAAAGAAGAATGTATAGAAAACATCGCCTCTAACTTAGGTGAGATGATGTCAAAACACTTGCTGCCTTGTATATGTTCTGGATGTAAATATACACAAAAACTCAACCCTGTGGACAGTAGTTATATATTTCACTTAAGTATTTATTGAGGGGCTTTTTGGGATTTCTTTTCCCCTTTTTCCATTCCATCCCTGAAGTTTGGAAATAGGCTAAACCTGAGCACAGCTACTTTTGCTCTTCCCTTGTGTAGGGTGTTGGAAGGAAGGCTTAAGAAACTTGTGAGTACTTCCATCAAGATGTTGGAAGCTTGCACTTTGGGTGTCTCTATATATTTTGCCTGAAGAATCACAGATGATTTAAGTGTTAAATTGCATCTTAAAAGATATACTACAAATAAAATCCATTTCTTATATATAAAGCAAATTTATTGCATGTTCTTCTTCATCAGATCAAAGGAATAGTTCAAGTGAAGCTGTGGAAGAACTGAAATATCGCTGTTCTCTTAAAATTGCCCTGGATATTTTGGATCAAAATGGCTCAGCCAAACAAGTACTGCCTTCAGAAAAAGGACCAAACACTCTGTTACCCCAGGAGAACAAGGCAGGATCTCTCTCATCTACCCCGTTACAGGGACGTCAATCACTCTTTCACTCAAAAGAAAAGTTGGAGCTTGAGACTTCCAAGAGGAAAACAGAACAAAAAAATAACCCCAGCCTGAAGACCAATACAAAAAAAAACAAACAGGAAGCTTCCTTCATTTTGGAGGAGAGTACTAGAGGACACAGAATTAGAACAAACCCTTCCAAACGTGTCACTGGGGACTGGAGTAATATGTCAGACAGTGCAGATTGCAAAACACCAGAATCAGAATCACTACCAAGACAGAAAAAAATCAAGCCCAGCTTGTTGACAGAGTCCAAACCAGGAAATCAAGTCTTCTTTAAGACCAAGGAGATAAAAAAGAAGGAAGAAAGAAAAAGACAAAGAGGTGCAGGATTACCTGTATCATATAGGAATGATTTCCCCACGGATCAAGCCCAGCCCCTTGCTGAGGAAGGGTCCCCTCTGCCTGTCCCCTGCAATCCTGACACAGTGGTACCTGTCACAAGGGCAAAAACCAGAAGTCAACCTAGAAAAACGTTACTGGATTCTTGTAAAAGTGCCTCAGGTGACTTGGAAAATAGCATCAGTAGTGAGAGCAAAAGCCTGGCAAAGCAATTAGATGGAGGAAAAAAGCCAGTGAGTTTAACACAGACTAATGGAGAACAAAAGATTGGCACAACCATGTCCTCGTACAGAAAAAGGGGATGGAGGAATTGCCCTGAGTCTTCATCTGGGCCTTCTAACCATGGGACACTTTCTGATAGCTTCCCCTCTCAGCATAAAGAGGAGAAAAATAAGGATATTTCACATGTAGTTATGAATAAAGTAAAGCAATTCCAGCTGCCTGATTTTGAGGAAGATGAAGGTGAGTGTGTCACTTGGGGAAAGGAAAACCTCATCCCATTTGATTGTTGAGCACTGTTCCTCATCTTGGAATGTTGCATTGCTTTTGTGAATGAGGCCCTTAAATTGCTGATTTAAATTTTGTTTTCAGTTTTGGAGAAGCACAAAATTCAGTCTCTTCACTGGATAAAAACTAATGTGGCATTGAGGTTGTCTGGTGGTGTTTTGGGTTTTGCATTGACAAACTGCACTTAGCAGTAATTCCTACCCCTCACTAGAGGAGTTGCTGATTTCACACTTTGTTTTCTTTACTGCTATCTAGTTAGTGTTGAGATGAAATGGTGTTATGTAAAGGAGCAGAGTCCTGAAACAAGCCTGCTTTGGTTCCTTTCCCTTTTTTGTCTTTTATTCAGATTATTAGGCCTTTACCTGGGCAGAGAATAGAGAGTGTGGCATGACAGACCCAGTGACTCGCGCAGCTGTGGGGTCCCCTACCCAGCTGTGCGTTTCACCTGCCCTGAAGCTGATACTTTTTTAATCTACTCCACACATATTAACGCTGGTGCTTGCTGCTGTTGGCAGGGCTGGAATCGCTTGACCTGTCTTCAAATATAGCTTCCTTGGAGAATCTCTCTTGCCTCTCAGCTCTGGTAGATGAAGAGGAGGAGGAGGAGGAAGAACTTCCTTGTGTTTTATCACATCAAGGTGAGACATCAGTGTACCTGTGAGACTCCTTCACCCAAGAGCGTTGTGCTCTTTCAGGGTATGTGTGCTTCTAGTTTGCTAACAAGCTGCGTGCCCTGGTTTCAGCTAGGATAGAGTTATTTTTTTTTCTTCTTAGTGGCTAGAATAGCGAGTGTGATGTTACATCATATGAAATATTCTCTTGGCCAGTTTGGGTCCAGTCCTCTGGCCGTGCTCCCGCCCAGCTTCTTGGGGACTTGCAGAAGGGCAGGACATGGGGAGTTGGGAGTTTGATCTCAGCAACAGCTGAAACCGTCAGTGTGTTACCAACATCATCTCATACTGCATCCAAAACACAGCACTATTCTAGCTACAAAGAAGAATAATTAACTCCACCCCAGCCAAAACCTGGACACTATGGTAATGAAACCTAACCTTTCTAGAAGGTGAATCATCCAGCTTTGTTCAAATTTGGAATAAAATGATTTTCTCGGATGTCCCAGAAAGGCTTTTCAAAACAGAATGTAGTGTGGATGACTGGATTGCAAGGGCCTAGGATTCAAATTTCCAAGTTCTTTTGCTGCATTTTAGGGGCTGAGGGCAGGGGGGATGCCCTGTCACCTTAGTTGAGACCTGTAAAAGCGTTGAAGTGAAACGCCTGAAAGGAGGCTGGTAAGAGAGGGTGAGCTAACTGTCTTGTCTTGTTTTTTTTAAAGAAAAATTATTTTCTTTTTCATCATAGAACCGCAATCAATTGAAGAAGGGATTTTGGTCTGGTGCAAATTGCGAAGCTATCCTTATTGGCCAGCAGTGGTAAGAACAGCTCGCTGCATTCCCAGAGTGGTGCTGCAGGGGGGCTGCTAAGGAGGGGCTTAGCGAGAGCTTTAGTCTTTTGTCCTCCTTGACTTGTGTAGAGCTGGAAATGTTAAAAATCTTCCAGTAGAAGTGTTCCAAAGACGATAGAAGTAAATTTATGTATGATGAGAGCACATAAAAAAATAAATATATTTAACTCACATATGTTTGTATTGGAGCAGAGGATTACTGCTGAGCCTTTATATCTTGTATCCTGAATTAAGGTTCTTGTACCCAACTAACGAAGGAGAACAGGTCCTTGTGTACTAACAAAAACGCTCCATTGGGGTAACTTGCTATTCTTGCCGCTTTAAACTTAATTTTTCACGTTTGTGTAACTTCCTTTAAGTATGGGGTGTGCTGTAGAATAGTGATGGAAAATGTTCCTGCTTTGTAAGGGTATTGGGATTGTAGAGTGCTAATGAGACTTTATCCTTTCAACAGGTAAAATATGTGAAGCGGAAATGCCGAAAGGCGTGTGTGCTGTTAATAGAAGGGAATACAGATTGCAAGAAAAAAGGGTAAATGTTGTGGATTCTGATCATGTTCCAAACTTTTGGTTTCCTTTAGGCAACATCCTGTACTCTTCCTGGGGCAGGGCAGTTACACTGTCAGTTAAGAGTAAAGTTGATCTCAGAGGGAGGGTCCAAGTCGGGTGAGGATTTGCCTTATCGCACTGCCAGCCGAGACAGGCTGGCATTCATGCCAACAGCTGATGCTTGTGGGAGGAAGGAAAAAAAAAAAAAGGGGCTGGTGTTTTTTGACATGTGATGCCCAAACTTTCTGGAAACGCAGGCCTGCCTGCCTTTAGTTTTGTTTTAAAACCAGGAACTTCTCATTTGATAAAAGATTCTGTAGTTTTACCTGCTTATGAAAACAAAAACTAGTAAAACCTGCATTCCTGAATTCCTTGTGAAATCTAATTTTCAGGGAGGTGTAGAATTGCAATAAATAAATAGAGGTGCAACTCAACTGCTTCTTTTTCCCTAACTGTGTTTCTTTGTTTCATCAAGTTTCTCAGTACCTCTTAAGAATCTGAAACACTTTGATTGCGAAGAAAAGCAGGAGCTCATAGTAAGTACTACCAGTAACGTGTAGCTGCAAGCGTGTGCATGTGTTGGGGAGAATTCAGTTGTATACACCATGTCTGACTGACCCTGTGGGAGGAGTGGGGTGCAGCTGGCTGCTCTGGGGTTGTTCACGGTTCTCTGTTCTCTCTCACTCTGTTCAAAGTAATTAAACATAATTCGTGATCCACAAGTTGGAGAATAATATGGGAAGGGGATTCCCCGATACCTTTTTCCATCTCGGTGAGGCTGCTGCCAAGAACACCCGTACGTGGAAGGGAGGCAGTTGCTTGAGACTCTTACTGTGTTATCAGTTGTGGGTTTGCTACGTACAGCAAAGCCACTCGCTGCGTGACAAAGTGATGGGAGAAGTTGAATTTCAGGAGAATGCAGAAAACTGCCAGTAAAATTTGATGCATTACTGTTAGCCACTTCTGTTACCCGGTTGGTGTCCTAGCCCCAAAGGCTTTGACAGGATACTCTTTTTAGGGCTGTAAATGATGGCTCTTGTTTTGCAGGGACGAGCTAAGGAAGATTATCGCCAAGAAATTGAGTGGTGTATCCGACTGATTTCTGACTATCGAGTTAGAGTAGGTAAGCAGATGAGTTGGATGATGTTGTCCATTCTGATATGCCTCAAAAAAGATAAGACTAAAACTGTCAGCTTTGTTTCATACGCTTAATTGTACTGATAAATAACCATAGTTTGGGCTTTTTAGGTTGTCATTCTTTTACGGGATCCTTCCTGGAATATTTTGCTGCTGATATCAGTAAGTGAATTCATTATCTTTTGTATTCTTCTCTTGAGGGGGTACTATTAAAATTATTGCACACCATTACTGCACTCTAAGGTTTTTCAGTCCCTCAGCAAAAGCTAAATAAATATTGAGTGTTAAAGACAATCAGGTAACTGGTTACTTCATGCTGTAGAGTGCATTTCAGAGCTCCTGCCAGTGTTTCAACTCCCCAACCTTTTTTTAAGGCAAAATTAAGGTTTGGGTGCTGGTGTTTTTTTACCCTCCTTGGTAGTGGAGGAAGAAAAACTTCTCTCTTAGCCAGAAAGTCCCTTATTTTATGTTTGTGTATCTAAGTATGTGTGAGAGAAAGTCTCTTGTTTTGTATATTTAAGTATGAATGGTTGTGGCTTTTCCTTCAGGCTACCCAGTTAGAAAGGAAGGTTATCCAAGTTCAGTCCAAATGACCTTTCCAAACACAGCAGAGGAAGATGTTGGAGAGTCTTCATCAGAACCTTCACCTCAGAAGCCCTCCAAGAAACTTCTTCCTGACAGAACAAGAGCTGCTAGAGATAAAGCGAATAAAAAGATAGTGGAGTTTATAGTGAAGACTAAGGGGGCCGAAGAGCATCTTCTGGCTATTTTAAAAAGCAGAAAACCATCCCGGTGGCTGAAAGAATTCCTGAATTCAAGTCAGTATGTGACCTGCATTGAAACATATTTAGAGGATGAAGAACAACTAGACCTTGTAGTGAACTACTTGAAGGAAGTGTATCATGAGATAGACACTAAAAATCTGAATCAAATAAATGGAGATGGAATTAAATTTATTTCAGATGTCCTTTTGCCTGAAGTGAGTAAACATGAAGCACCGAGAAAAGCGAATGTTAAAGTAAATAGCACTGGGGTTATGTGGTTTGTGTTTAAGGACTGGCAGAGTGTTGCCGGGATCTGGCGGTGCTTGAGCGGCGCAGGTCTGTCCCCACCTCCGTACCTGCCGACCCGGGTCACCGCCCCTTCAGCCCTGGGGACCCGAAACCGCGCTTGGCTTCCGCCTGTATCCGGGGCGGGGAACGTTAAAATCGGTGCAGGGGGCTCTACCAGCCCATGAGCATGGCTAAAATCGGAGAACAAGGAGGTTTATGTGATATGTTGGAGAAAAAAAAAAATCAAGTCCCAGTGCAAATCCCTGCACGCTTCCTGCATGTAATTCGGAATGGTGGCTTTCAGCCATTGGGGCAGAATGGAGAAGCTTTAGGCACTGGGATGTTTTTAAAGGCAGAATGGTTACTGCTGTGTCTTGATTCCTTCTGAGACCCTTCAAAGCTTTGGGCTTGTTTTTTCTTAGTTTGGGAAGTTATCTCTGCGTTTTCTTGGGTTCTTTGTGTGTGTTGGGGGGTGGGTTGTTTGTTTTTAACAGTTATACTTTTAGATACTTATTGTTCTTCCTGGGAACTTTCCCAGTAGAAAGTTAACTTCTGTAGAAAAAATTAGTATGAAGAATATCTTAATTTGCTTATAAAAATGTTCTCCTGGGGGTGATGAAGGATGAGTTCATATTATTTATATTAGAACTTCAGGTACAAGTTACAGATCCAAAACCAAGCAGTTTCATCCAAGCTTACTCAGTAATTGAGGAACCTTTATGCTACAAATGTGCTTATCTGAGACAGTTTCAAATCACTGGTTGTAATTTAGCTTCTGTTTCATGAGTGTAAATGAATTCAATACTTTTACAGGCCATCATTTACGCGATTTCTGCTGTGGATGACATAGATTACCAGAAGGCAGAAGAGAAGTACATAAAAGGACCATCTGTGAGCAAAAGGTATCTTTTTATTTTTAGCGTTTTCTGGATTTTTCTTACTCGTGTATACAGCCACGTGCGTGGAAGGGTGGAGCGTTCAGCGTCCTCCCTTCTGCAGGGCCAGCTTCCTCCTCCAGTAACAGAATGATCAGACGCAGGAAACATTCTTGCCAAGTTACTGCAACACGCTGCAAACTGTTTCACCTGTTCAGATCACTTTTACTACAGAACTTCAATGCTTTTCTTTTCAGGGAGAGAGAAATATTTGATGAAGAAATTATAGAGAGAAAAAAGTGGAAGACCAAACTAGCGTCTGCGGACAGCGCCTGAACTGTGGTGCAAGCTTTCCCGAGTTCTCCTGGCACTGCGTGTACATAGTGGCGTGGTTGTTGGTATAAACGTGTAATTCCTGCTGTATAGGATCCGTGTGTGTGTGTCTCAGAGCTGTAGTCACTAGAACGCTGTGCCGCGGGCGGATCCAGTTCTGCCTGCAGCCCGTGCTCTCGATGCTGCCTCGCAAAGGGCGCGAGTGTTTTGCAGAGCTGCTTGGTATAATTCCGTCTTGTATTCATTATTTTGGCCAAGTATCTGACAAAGGAAGAGGTATTGTCCTCAAAACCATGTACTGGTTAATTCTTGCCTGCTGATTTTACTGCTGCTGGGTGGGTGCAGGTTTCCCCCGTCTGAAAACATTCGCAGCGGGTTGGCCGTCCTTGCTTTACATGTCGCTGTGTGGGGAATGAAATGGGAACGTGGGGATGCAGCCTGAAGGGCAGAGGCTTGGGTTTTGGTGGTAGGACAACTGTAAAATTCAGTGGAAAAGGAATCCAATGTTTGCTTAAAAAACAAAACACATTGACTTTAAAAGTGAAACTGTTTTGATTGTTCTTTTATTTTTTTGTTGGTTTTTTTTTTTAGGCCATGTTTTTAGGAACACTTTTGATTATCTTTTTCTGTCGGATTTTACTATTAAATTTAATCATCCCCTAGCTTTCTGTTAACGGTGTAGCACTGTCCCTTGCTGGTGCTAGACTCGCACTGTTGTTGAACTCTAAGGATAAAAGCCCGGTGATTGTATTTTTCTGCATTACAATGAAAATGTGATCTACTTGCTTGTTCAATAAAAACTGAGATGATTTGAAATTAAGGAAGAAGTTTAAATGTAAAGCGGGGGTACAGACGTGTATTCTGCCTATAGCAATTAAAATATATTCAGTTAATTGCACTTTGAGTTACTCCGGGCTGAGTTCCAGTATGGATGTGGAATCCCAGTTCAGGTTCTCAGAGGGGCTGCTGCGGCTGGTTGGGTTTAGGATATAAAAAAAGAAGTGGAGCGGGGTTTTGGGGGGGGGACGCGGTTCGTTCAGCGGCGCCTAAAACCCCCGGGCTGCCGTTTTTTTTTTGGGGGGGGGGGGGGGGGGGGGGGGCGGTTAACGCAGCAGCGGGCGGGGCTGCAGCCCCGGGCCCTGCGGCAAAAAGGAAGCGGCTGCCGAAACCCGGGATCGAACCAGGGACCTTTAGATCTTCAGTCTAACGCTCTCCCAACTGAGCTATTTCGGCTGCGCTGTAGCGCCCCCACCCCCCCCTTCCTCCCGTGTCCCCCCGGTGGGGCCGGGCCTGGCGGGGGGGGGGGGGGGGGGGGCGCGGGGGGGAAGGCGGGGTCCGGTGCCCGGTAGCGGCGGGGAGGGGGGCGCGGGGGGGGGGGGGGGGGAGCGCGGAGCCCCCGGCGCGGTCCCGCTGCCCCGAGCGGCGGGCGCGGCGGCGGCGGCGGCAGCGCGGTCTCTGTGGCGCAATCGGTTAGCGCGTTCGGCTGTTAACCGAAAGGTTGGTGGTTCGAGCCCACCCAGGGACGGGCGCGCCGCCGCCTTTTACCCCCCCCGCGCGGTCCCGCATTTTGGTTTTGTGGGTTTTTTTTTTTTTTTTTTTTGGCCCGAACGGCGCGCCCCGCGGAACCCCTCCGCGCCTCCCCGCGTTCCCCCGCCGGCGCGCTGAGGCGGCGCACCGGGTTCCGCGCCGAGCCGCTTAAGCGGCTGCACCGCGCCCAGAGGTTGCCTGAAGGGCTGCGGCGAGATGGCGGCGCTGGGCTGTGAGCGGGGGCGCTGGGCCGGGCCGGACCGGGGGGCGGTTGGAGCGGACTGGGGGCTCCGACGCGAGGCAGGGCCCGCGGCTCTCCCTCCGCGGGGGGTGCGGGGTGTCCGTGTCCCCCAGGTTGAGCTGTCCCCGGTGCGGGCCGTCCCCCTTCCCGCCGCCGTTCAGCTCTCCCGTTCTCTCTCTCGTTCCAGGGCTTCGCCTCCCTCGGCGCGGCGGCCCGGGCTGGCGGTGAGCGCCGGGATGGGGGGCGGTGGGTGTCCCGGTGGGGTGGGCGGGAGGGCTGCCTGGGCAGAGGGGCTCCTGTCCCCCCCCCTTCTCCTGTCCCCCCCCCTTCTCCTGTCCCCCCCCCCTTCTCCTGTCCCCCCCCCCCTTCTCCTGTCCCCCCCCCCTTCTCCTGTCCCCCCCCCCTTCTCCTGTCCCCCCCCCCCTTCTCCTGTCCCCCCCCCCTTCTCCTGTCCCCCCCTCCCTTCTCCCCCGTCCCTCCTCCTCTCCCCCCCTCTCTCCCCTGTCCCCCTTTCTCTCCCCTCCCCTATCCCCCCTCCTCTCTCCCCTATCCCCCTTTCTCTCCCCTCCCTTCTCCCCCTCTCTCTCCCCTCTCCTCTCCCCCCTGGCTGGCCTGGATCCCAGTGCTGCTTTCCCGATTTCTGGGGCTGCGGGGGGAGCACTGCTGGGTGCTCCCGGGGGGCAGCCGGGGCGGTGGGGGGGAGGCTGAGCCGCCACGTCCCGCAGAGCTGCGATGGTTTTTCTATCTCTTCCCCAGGCCGGGCGCCGTGACATTTGTGCACACCCGGCTGCTCCATCGGACGCCAGCGGCTGACCGTGCTGACAGGTAACGCCGGTGCTTCCAGGCAGGTTCCTCAGCTGTGTCCTTCCCCCCGAGTGCTACAGGGGAAGAAACCTCTTTGCTGTAGCTCTGTCTGCCTACGTGTGACAATCTTTTCCTCACTTTGCTTCTTAAAAGCCAGGGTTAAGTGTCAGTCTGTGAGCTCTGGAGATGAGCCCGCCAGGCGCCCTCTGTGTTTTGGGTATGGCAAACAGAGGGGCTCAGCAAACTCCACAGATCTCCCCACAGTGGGAGGAAAAAAACCCCAAAACCTTATAAAAACACAGTCTCCAGTGGTAGCAGAGGGTGTGAGATTGTCCATAATCAATGAACCACAGATTCCATATGGGATCACAGCTCCTTGAGGCTAATGATTGTATTCTGCAGTTACACTAAATAATTGGAGACTGATACTACCGCGCCATTTGTCTTCAGCTCTGTCCAAGTCCAGCAAAAGAGCTCAGCTGTTGTCCAGAAAAAATCCTACGTCCCCACTAGCAGGGGTGAATATATTGTCACCAAACTCGATGACCTGATCAACTGGGCGCGAAGGGTGAGTCGCTGAAACTGTTGTGCTCGCTAGGGAGAAAGGGTATCACATGCTTTGAGGTGCTGGTGGGAAATGGATTTGAGCCATCTCCTCCTCAGGATAAAAATAGGGTCAAGATTCTCCATGGGGAAATAGCCAAGTTTCCTGGCCAGAGGTTGAAATTTGGGGTACTGCCTTGGAGAGGGAGAGACCCGCTTGGTGCGAGGGTGGCGCAAAGCAGCGCGGGCTGCCTGTCTGAACAGAGCTGTCCTTCCATAACAAGCAAAAGGCATTTCTGGCTTTACGTAGCCCTTGTAATGAGCAGCTGCACGAGTGACTCTGCCCTGAACCCCGCGTGCTCTGGCGTAGCTGAGTTTTCCCTTCTCCGGTCACCGCCGCCCTTGTGCGGGGCTCCCGGGGTGGCTGTTTAGCAGTGGGAGATGCAAAGGGAGCGTCTGCGGCTCTGGGCACGCTCAGCATCCCCGAGGCTGCAAATGCACAGCTCTCTATGCACCTGTTTCCCCGGAGCCATGGGTTTGGTGTCCTGTGTAGTGGCAAACACTGTTCGTGACTAAGCAGATCTTGAAAGTTTTCTTGTTCTGTTTCCTTTTCTGTCTGATCAACTCTTGCTCTGGGACTCACCCCCCCAGGGTCTCAGCTCATGCTTTCAGCGTTCTCACCCAGAACCCGCATCTCTCCTGCTGCAGAGCTCCTTATGGCCGATGACGTTTGGCTTGGCCTGCTGCGCCGTGGAGATGATGCACATGGCAGCTCCTCGCTACGACATGGACCGCTTTGGGGTGGTGTTTCGGGCTAGTCCCCGGCAAGCTGATGTGATGATTGTGGCCGGCACCCTGACGAACAAAATGGCTCCTGCTCTTCGAAAGGTACAGACCGCGGGGGCTGCCCCGCACGCGGCCGCACAGGGGAAGCGGTTTGAACTGTCTGTGTTCTGCAGGTCTACGACCAGATGCCGGAGCCTCGCTACGTGGTCTCCATGGGGAGGTAAGTGCGGGGACGTCCTGATCGCCTGACACTCCCTGGGAGGAATCTGGTGTCTCTGCTTGAGTGAGGAGATGAAGGGAGGGAACCCATTCCTCATTTGTATTTCCAATGGCTTAAATTATATAAAGAGGCCTTGTTACAAGAGAAACATAAAGACTGCCTTTGATTAGGGTGAGGAGAACGATGTCTGTCAAGTTGCTGTGAACTGCAAAGTCTTCCCAGTGAAAGATTCTGGGGTGTTTGCAGCTGTCAGACTCTGGGGACTTTATATGTCCAGAATCTCAGAATTTGCATTTAGACAAAACCTTTCTGAATGTTTCTACTGTGCAACATGAAATCTGAGCTCTGAGGAGCTCAGGCATGGTGGAACTGACAACTTGCTCGTCTCCTGGAGCTGCAGGGGCTGAGGGCGAATGTTTCACTGGGGGCTGGAGGGGACAGAATGAGTTCTAGGAACGTTCTGTGCAGATGTGGCAAAACCAAAAAGGTTTCGCAATATAGAGGAAGGACCCTCTGAATATCTGCTGTGTAAGAGTAATGGAAACGTGTCAGTTTGGCTCGATTGAGCTTGAACAGCCTGCGAGCGTGGCCTCTGCCTTCCAGACAGGGCTTGTGAGGAGGCTGAATGGCCGCGGCGTAAACCTTGGCACCCACTCCACCCCTTACTGTGAAATCTGTCCGGTGGCTCCTTGCCTCGCTACACTCGGACACCAGGTTCCCCTTCTCCTTTGCTCCTGCCCGTCTTTCCCATGGGCTGCCGAGCCGCGGTTACCAGCGCGCTGAAACCCGCCCGTCTCTTGCAGCTGTGCCAACGGCGGGGGCTACTACCACTACTCCTACTCCGTGGTGAGGGGCTGCGACCGCATCGTGCCGGTGGACATCTACGTGCCAGGTAGGAGAGACAGCTCTGCCCGCCAGGGCGGGGGTGAAGTCGTTTTGTACGTTTGGCTGGTGCTTGGTGTCGTGTTTGAAGATCTTTCTGTGTCAAACCGTGTTGCTGAAGTTGCAGACGCTTCAGTCAGATCTGCCTGGGGTTTCCAGTAAGCGAGTGGAGTTCCTGTGGTGATGTTACTCGCCAGTAACTGTTGGGTCAAGTGCGGGCTGTAGTTCAGTCAACCACATACTCGCCTGTGAGATACCACCTTGCTTTAAAAGCAAAGCATTTCTACGTTTTATAAAGATCTGTTGGAAAAACACCACCACTTTAGTTTCTTTAAACTAAAGAAGCCCTCTTGCCTTTATGAACTCTGCAGCCTGTGACATACACCAAGCCCAAGGGCAGTCGCAGCCTCCTTTGGGGTAAAGCCCGTGGCTTGTTGGTTCTCATTCTGCTGGCTACATTTCAGTGCAGCTCGCAGCCCCACGGGCTTCCTTTTTCTCTCTCTCAGGTTGCCCACCTACTGCTGAAGCTTTGCTGTATGGAATCCTGCAGCTTCAGAAGAAGATCAAACGGGAGAAGAAGATTCAGATCTGGTACAGGAAATAGCCCCTTATTTATGACCTCCCACTGACTGCCCACCTGGGGCACCTGCTTGCATTCGTACGCACAATAAATCTGTATCCTCACAAGCCTTCCAATAAAACTCGACCTGGTTAAGATGCCCTTCTGTCTTTAATACATCCCTCATCTAAAGTGGTTTGACTTGTTTGAAAACTGAATTTAAAAGCAGGAGTTGAATTTTGACGACATTCAGTGTGTCGATTTCTGATCTGAGTAGCCTTTGAGGGAAGGAGAATGTTTGAAGTTACATATCGTGACATAAACGCCTCGCCAGAAGCCTGGGACTTGCTCCTTGGCTTTGTTAGGAAGTTTTGAGACCAACACGCATCCAGCTGAACCCTGAGGCCCCCGAGCTCATCCCACTCACCACCTGCATTTTGTTTATAATTCCTACAAAGGATCTAATAAATCCTTTATATCTGTGTACACAGCAGCCCCAAATGGATTCTACTTCTGTAATTTAAAGAAAATATTAATGCTTAAAATCAGAATATGACTAATAAAAATGAATGCTGCAGCATTCCTTTAGCAGGGTAGGAATGAAGCAGCCCAGGGCGGGCTTTGGTACTGGCTGCGTCCCAGGAGCCTGGTGTGGTGTTGAGGGACAGTCAGGGCACAATTACATACACGCTTTTGAAAGACAAATAAACTGCTCTGAAACAGCAGTTGTGTATTTCATTCCTTTTTAATGGATTTTATCCCTTCTGGGTAGAGAGAAGAAGCATCATTTATGTGCTGTTGAACTGTAAGGGGGGTGTCGGGATCAGAACTTGCTACGATGGGCTTTAGCCAGAAGTATCTGGAAGCTTCGCTGGGGCGTTGCTCCAGGAGCGGCTGAAATGCTCCCAACTTTGCCATCTTCCCCATTGCTCCCACCTGGTTTAGGTTATTTGACTCCTGTGGAAAGCACCCCTGTGATTTCTAAAAATGATCCAGTTTTTAGAGGAAATGGCTCATCCTTGAACCCCTCTGGCTAAAGGCTCTGAGCCACACTCTGCTCTTGAATTGCAGCATAATTGAGGTATTTGGAGACAAGGGCAAGTCTTGAGTGGAAACTTCCTCCTTGGAGCCCAGCAGAGCCCTCCAGGGCTTGGTGACATCTGCTGTGGGGCAGGGAGTGAGTCCTTTTGTCCAGGAGGTCCCCTGGAGACCCAGGACTTCCATCCCAAGCCTCCAGCCATCTCCCACCTCCAGATAAATCAGCTTCAATCTTCCCTCGTTAGCATTGGAGGAGATAAGAGCTTTTCTTCTCTGGGCACATGTAATCAGCCTCTCCTCACCTGGGGCTGGGCACCCTCAGTGCTTAATGATGGTGGGTGTGATCATCTTGGGGAAAGAGTAGTACCTGCAGCCCTTGGGGGGGACCAGGTCCATCACCCTCGTGCTGATATTCTCCTTCTTGAACCCGGCTTCTACCAAGTGCCCCACCTGGGTCTCCTGCGGGAGAGAAGGAGCAGCGAGGGTTTGAGCTGCCGGGACGCGGCTGGAGATGCTGCTGAGCCCAGGGACGCGGGGCAGCGTGAGCAGCCGGGTGCAGGGAGCCCTGTCCTGGGCTGCCGTGGGCAAAAACCCTCTGATCTTCCCCCAAATGTTCCCTGCGGAGCCCCGGCCGTCACCGTCCCCGGCCGTGGAGCGCTCTGGTTCGTGCTGGCTACAGTGTCGGGCACAAGCACGGGGCGGGGGGGGTGCAGAGGCTGACGGGGCAACTTTGGGGAACCCAGTTTGGGATGGGGGTTCCAGGCTCTCCCTATCCCGGGACTCGGTGCTCACCTCAAACATCTTCTCGATGTCGGTGTACTCAGTCTTCAGCAGCTCCCCCCAGGAGGTCAGGTTGCAGTAGGTGAGGACCCCGCCAGGCTGCAGCAAGCGGAAGGCATGGTCCTGCGAGGGGAGCTGGCTCAGCACCCAGCACCCAGCACCCAGCTGGGTGCTGCCTGACCCCACTCCAGGCTCTCACGTCTCCCTGCAGAGCCGGACACTGCCCCAGCCCTCTGTGCCCCCCCGTTGCCCCCCTCCCTCCGGCTGTGGCCACGTGGACCTAAAGCGCTGCTGATGCCACCGTTGCACTGGAGACATCATGTCATGCTGGGGACACTGGGGTTTTCCAGAGGGCACCAAGTCCCGGGTGGGAGGGAGGCTGGGGGGATGGCGGGGCCCGGCTCTGGCTTTGACTCTCTGAGCTCCCAAATTCTCCTCCCTGCCCTGCGTGCCCCCATCTCCCCCAACACCCACCCCCCCAGGAGCCGAGGGCGGTGGGAGGGGTGGGTGCTGCACCCTGACACGTTACCTTGATAAAGTTGAACTGGTGCGTGTGCCAGGTCTCCTCCGACAGCGGGTAGGTGTCGTACAGGATCCCTGCCCGCAAACACCGGAGACCACCCGTTAGCCAGGAGAGACCACCGAGGCGCCGCTGGGGCTCACATGCCCGGGGGTGGGGGGGAAGATCCCCCTTCGTGGCCTGTTACTATTTTATTCCTATTTAAATTTGCAGCTTGTGTTTTCAACTCCTGGCAGGCAGCGATGTGCAGCTCCCCGGGACAAGGCGCCGCTCCCCGGGGATACCGGCTGCAGCCCGTCCCCGCGGTGGGGAGCGGGGCTGGGTGCCACCCTGCACCCTGAGCTCTGCTGTGGGGACCCCCCCCCCCGCCACCCCCCTCGCCGGTCCCGCTTGTGCGGTGTCTCACCCCTGAAGTGCCCGTCGGGCAGCGTCGGCACCACGTCCTCCCACAGCCCCTTCAGGGCCACGACCTGCGGGTGGGCGGGTGGGCAGGGGGGTGAGCGCCGGCGGTGGGGCACCCACCGGCACCGTGCACCCGCACAGCCCCGGCTCTGGTCCCGTGTGTGGGTGTGGGTGTCCCCCCCTCACCCCGGACCTTGTGCGGCTGCATCCTGGCCCATTCCTCCAGCCGCCGGAAAACCCCCTCGTTGCACTCCACGATCCAGTGCTCCTCGATGTCAAATTCCTCCACCTTGGTGGCGGCGATGGCCATGCCGAAGCCCACCTCCAGCACGCGGCCACCTGGGGACGAGAGAGCAGCTGGGCGGGGGGACGGGTTGTGCCTCCAAAAACACAGAACCCTGATTTTTCTCCACCTCAGTGTTCCCCCAGCCCCAAACGCTGCCCCGCTCTTTCCCTGCATTTGGCTTTTTTCAGCACCGGTTGGGATATCGCAGTGTTTCCCACACTGGGGTGAGAACCAGGAGCAGCCCCATGCCCCCATCACCCCCCGCCTGCCCAGCTGCCCCCCACAGCAGCTCTTTACCCCCACCAAACCCCCCCAGGAACTAGCAGCCGCTTGCAGCAGCGCTGCCAAAACCCTCCCGCTGCCGGCACGCGGGAAACACAACCCAAAAACCAGCAGGTCCTGGCCGGGCTGTGCTCTGCCCCCATGGGGGGCTGCCCTCCCCCCCCCCTTCCCCACACCCCCAGCCCCTTTCAGGATCGCGTCACCCTGACACGAGAGCACAAACGCGGGGAGCGCCGGCAGCGAGCGGGGAAAGCTGCCCCACTTCCCACGCCCCAGCTGCGCCCCACGGCACGGCCCCGGGGAGCCCCTGTTACCCCTCGACGCGGCCACGGCCGCCAGCGAGTGCATGTAGGGGGTCTCCCAGCGCTCCATCACCGGCTTCCCCAGGATTTCCAGGTGGGCGTCCGGCGCATCGTAGCCGGCCGCCGCATCCCGCCAGGCCGCCCGGCAATCCTCGCCCTCGGCAAAGATGGGCCCCGCTGTCAGCCGGGTGCTCATGGCCGTGCCGCCGCGGGGAGGAAAGTCCACCAAAGTTCAGCTCGGCGGTGCTGGGGGAGGGAAAGGGCCGCCCGGCACTTGGCCGGCTTTAAATAGCCGGGGCTGGAAAAGTGCTGAGTGTGCATGGCGGGCTGGGGCCCGTCTGGGTGAAAGGGACCCACAGTCGGGGGGGCTCTGTGGGGCAGCAGGGGCTGCCAGGCCCGAGCAGCCGGTGCCCCACACCGTAGCGGGGCTGGGGGGGTGCAGGGGACAGGCCCCATTTCTGAGGGCAGCATGCTGTGCGTGGCTAGAGTGGGAATGAGCAGCATGGCTGCGTGGCAGCGCCCAGCTGGATCGGTGCGACCTGGGGGGGGACACGGAGGGTGGGCTTTTCCCCACAGGCTGTGCCCCACACCATGCCATGCCCCACGCTGTGCTGTGGACCGGGGCTGTGCCCCATGCTGTGCCCCACTCTAAGGCTACACACGGGGGCTGTGCCCCACGCTGTGCCTCACACTGTGCCATGCCCCATGCCGTGCCCCACACTGTGCCCCATGCTGTGCCGCACTCTAAGGCTACACACAGGGGCTGTGCCCCACGCCGTGCCGTGCCCCACACCGTGCCCCATGCCGTGCCGTGCCCCACGCTGTGCCCTGCCCCGTGGCTGCGCGTGATACTGTGCCCCACGCCACGCCATGCCCCAGGGCTGCGCACAGTGCTGTGCCCCACTCTAGGGCTACACACCGGGGCCGTGCCCCACGCCATGTCATGCTCTAGGGCTACACACCGGGGCCGTGCCCCATGCCTTGCCCCACTCTAGGGCTACACACCGGGGCTGTGCCCCACGCCACGTCATGCTCTAGGGCTACACACCGGGGCTGTGCCCCACGCTGTGCCGTGACCCGGGGCCGTGCCCCACGCCTTGCCCCACTCTAGGGCTACACACCGGGGCCGTGTCCCGGTGCCATGCACCAATACCGTGCCCCACGGCTGCGAACGGGGCCGTGCTCACCACCCCGCTCCACGCTTCCCCGTCGCCGGGGGTGACTGATGCCCCACGGCAGAGCCGGGCTGCGCTGCACGGCGGGGGGGGGGGGGGGGGGGGGGGGGGGGGGGCCGTTCCCGGGGCGGGGGGGGTTCAGCCCGTGCCCCCCCCCCCCCCCCCGGCGGCCGCACGTGGGACAGGCGGACTGCTCTTCCCGTCGTCCCCCGCGCCGCGCCCCGCCCCGCCCCTCCCCGGGCGCGGCCCCGGAGACCCCGTAGCGAGGGGCAGGTGCGCGCGCAGTGGCGGTTGGCGGCGCTGAGGGAGCGCGAGCGCGCGGCGGGGGGGGGGGCCGGGCCGGGCCGGGGGCGGCCGTTGCGCAGCTCGGGATAACGCCGCGAGGGGGGGGGGGGGGGGGGGGGGGAGAGCGGAAGGTAAACGGGAGAACGGCGAGGGACAGCCCGTCCGCAGCCTGCGACCTGCCGCTGGTGCCGCCGCCGCCGCCGCCCGAGGGAAGAGCCGGGCGCGGCCCCGGATACCGCCGAGGAGCCGCCGCCATGAACAGCGTGGGAGGCGCCGACGAGATCGGGTGAGGGTGGAGGTGGGGGGTGGGGGGTGTCGTATCCCCCCCCCCCCACCACCTTTCCTGCGTCCTCAGGCGAGGGCCGCGCCGGAGTTGGGGCGGGGGGGGGGGAAACCACCGTCCGACCGTTCGCCCCCGGGCCCGTCCGCCATGCTGGGCCCCTGCGGACCGGGAGGGTTTCACCCCCCCCCCCCCCCGTCACGTGACCGGCCCGCGCCGGGCTGCGGCGGCAGGTGCGCGCGGCCCAAGGTCACCCGCGGCCGTTCGCGCGAGCCCCGGCCCCGCCACGCCGCGGGGGTGGGGGGGGGGTGGGCACGGAGGGGACACGCCGTTTGCTTCTCCCGTTTCTCTGTTCCTAACGTTTGTGTCGTCGTCCGCTCCCCGGCGCGGGGTGTAAAACCCCGCCAGTGACTTTGTGCCGGTGACTCATCAGGGCTGCGCCCGGAGGGTCTGAGGGCCGCGGCCGGGGCTCTGCTCGGGGGGGGCGGCAGGACAAAGGCGGCGGCCGGGAGCCTTCTCTCACCCCTCGCTTCCCTTGTGCTGCAGAGGAGTCCGTGCGCGGCCTGCGGCTGCCCTCCCAAACTTCCCTCCGCTGACAGTCGCCTCCTGCTCGCTGGCCTTGTGTGCAAGCTGAACCCCAGTCAGAAAAACGCTGGGTTTACTTTAAAGGCTTTCCAGAGACTTTGTGGTGGCTTCTTCGAACTGATAGCCTCACACAGGTCTGCTTCTTTTGAGATGTATTTAGTAGCGTTAAACTTCCGTGCTGTATTCTGAACCCTAGCGACATTTAAATTGAGACTGTAGACTTGGCATGTTAGAAGTGCAAATAGCAATAATAATAATAATAATAATAAAAATAATAATAAAAAAAAGAATTGGCCACCTAGCTTTCAGGGCAACTTTTGGCACAGAATATGCATGTTGCAACTGGTCACCTTTTTTGGTGGATGTGTACCAGTTTTCTGTTGTTACTCTGCCTCCAGTGCGTAGTAATCTGCTTATTTGCTGTGCGTGTTCTTAATTTGCCCAGTCTTAAAAACACAAGAGGCAAGACAACTGATTTGAATGTTAGATGTTTCTACGAACAGCACATATTGCATGAGGCATTCTTAAATGTGTAGGTTTTGCTCAAATTATTTTTATTTTGGTCCTGGGCCTTAGTTACTGTCTAGTGCCTTATGAGAGACTTGATGGGGAAAGTTCTGTGTGCAGCTGTGCTGGAGCAGTAGGTGAGAGCAGGCTGCAAGTTACTCGGCTAGACACTGTCAGCTTTCATCCTGAACAGGCCCAGTTGTCACGGAGCCTGTTCCCAGTTACAGACTGCTTAGATTTTGATCTGAGGTGTAATCAGATGTGAAAGGCTTGGATTTTAATCAGAGATGGTAATTTTCTTTTTTCTCCTCTCCCAAAAGTGCTCAAACGGAAAGGTGAAAGCATAGCATAAACTGCAGTTTTAGTCAGCTGCCTGTAGTTGTGTGAAGGAAGTTCTATTTTGAAAGCTGTTGTGAGATGGAAGTCTTAATAGGAAGCTATGAATTTAACCACTTTTCTAGACAAATTTTAAGAAAACATACTTAGAAAGGCTGTAGGCCTTGCAGTTGTGTCGAGTAGCTAGGGCCTTGAGAGCGTTACTGTAATCAGTACTTGGGACTATTTTGGATAAAAGTGCTGTGATCTTGAGATCCTTCTGTCCTGCAGGAGGGTTGCTACATCCTAAGCACTTAAGAGACTGGATAGATGTTAATCAAACTGCTAGATTATTTTACATAGGCAAAGAGTTTGTGCTTTTGTGAAGTTTTGGTACTTCTAAAACACCTGTCTGTGCTTTCCTACTAATTCTGGCATTAGCTGCTTCAATGACAGATACATTTATGGCAGAAAAGAATAAATTGGCAAGTAAAATTTTGTCAGGAAATAGTTGAAGTGGAACACGTGGGTTCATGAAACTTGGTTAAAACTTATACATACTGTGGCTTCTGAAGAGTCATTATTCTGCTTCCCGTGCCCACGCTGAGTACTGCGAGGAGCGCTTCTGCTTCGGCACGGCACACACCGTCGTACCGCTCGTGTGCAGGGACAGGCCTGCTCAGAGAAACTGCCTGTCCCCAACGGAGCATAAAGCCTATCGCATCCCTCCAACACTACAGTCTGTACATACGTAGCTTTATGGAGATGGGCGTTTTTGAGGGGGATGTAAATAGGTGTGAGGACAGTGATGTCAGCAGGCTCAAACTGGTAGTGTAATTTTAATAACTACCAGCTCATAAACTCATTGAACAAAAAGTTTTAGAGGAAGCCAGGAGTCAGCGTACCTAAAACCTTCCGAATGAGCTGGAGATGCCAGCTGAGCACAGGGAAGTGAACGCTCACCTAGCGTTATTTCATGTCTGTCTTGCATCTGACAGCCGTTTTGTGCGATACTGCGTCTAGATTTTTGTGTTAGGTAGGGATTGGTTAAGTCTTGCATTTGCTCAGTGTGTTCAAACCAATCCACTGAGGAGTCAAAGGCAGGGTAGTCCTGGTTTTTGGCATTCTATAGTGTGCTTATTAATAGAAACCATGTATTTACATACAGCTGCTGTAGTTGACCTTAGGCAACCCAGCTTTTTTTGTTTGTTTAAATGCATGTAGGGTGACTACAAATAATTAATAATGGAATTAGAAGGTTTCAGTGACTGTTAACTGTGGGGAGTCCTCCCTCCCTGCAGACAGCTTGACGTTCTGTCAGTGCAGTTGGTATTTTTAGATTGATCTTAGAGATTGATCTTACATACCAAGCTATCAAATTTAGTTTAAAAAAAATCCCAAAATGTAGGTAACACGCAGTCATGGGCTACATGAAAACTTTAATCTGAATATAGCATTAGATCAAGTTTTGTTCTTTGCTATTAGGAAATAAAGTTATTTCCTTTTAGAACTTGCTTTCCCTGAAAATAATGACACAAGAAAGAGCACACAGATTCGTGCCTGTGTCCTGTATGTGGAGAGGAAACGTAGTGAAATGACAGTCGAAGCTACCAGGAAGTCTGAGTGTGGTGACAACTGTTGGGTGAAGTTTGGCTGTTCCCGGAAGATGACCGGTTGCTGAGAACTGGCCAGTGTTGAATCAGCTCTTAAGTGATGTCATGAACAAGTTCTTTGCCAGTAGAGCAAGGTTGGGGGGAGATTTCCTATCTTTGAGAAAAACTTCGTCATCCTGAAACAGGCCTGCTTTCAGAGGGGGTTGGTAGTGGATGAAACGTCCTGCGTGTGCTGGTATCGGATACATCATGATAATGCAAGTGCAGATGCAACCGCTGTCTTCTGCAACACTGTGAAGACTACTTCCTTTGCATATTACCTGTGCAGTTATTTTCTGTCCTGCTTAAAAAGATGCTTTGATCTGTGCTTAACAGCTGGTCTTTTATTTTTGAAAGACAAGACTTACGTCACCTCTCAACTAGTGACTGGGAAATAAAATTTGCCTCCATGGAATGAGACTTCTAGGTACCGTATAATACCGAATTTAGTCACTTCTTACTTTCATGTGTAGCATACCTGCACTTGGAAGGTGTTGATTTAGTCACTGTTGGCTGTTGTATAAGGGTTGTGACACGAAGCTGTATTGCAGAGAAATTAATCAAGGTGAAAAGGGACTGCTGGTTTTGTCAGCAAGTTGCCCTGCTACACAGGAGATTCTGGTTGCAAGGCTTCCACTTCACTGATGCTCTCTGTGCACTAGCAGCACTGGGACTGTGGCAGTGGGCCATTTCTTACTGCAGTTTGCTCCTGAAAAAAACAGGTGAGAGGAAGTTTAAATTTTTTTGGGTTAGGAGAACTTCAACTTTCCCTGTGTAAGGGAAGCTGCAGCTGTGCTTGGATATATCTGAGGGCAAGTAGAAGACAAAGCAGAATATGGATCCTCTCTTTGAGGTCTGATTAGAGAAATAGAGGGCATCCTCCAAAGATAAACTATCCCGCACTTGTCTGTGCAGACCCATGGAATTATTAACAGAAGAGCTTTTGAGTTGGTGCTTCTTATTGAGAAGGGCCAAGTGTTGAGATGGCTTTGAACTAACCTTTAATTATGGTGTAAATTACTTTGCATGGAAGTTTTGTCACGCCCTGAAGTTGATAAAGAATTGCAAAGCAGGCAGTCTGGCATCTTGCTGCTCCTCTTTGTGCACTTACCCAAGTACTTTGGCATGCTCTGACTTGAAAAGTGCAGATTTGGGTGCTCTTTTCAGAAGATGAG